TTTCAAACAGTCCCCGTTAACATTTATTAAAAACCATTTGCTTAAATGGAATTATGACTTGCAAAAAAATTGACTCATTTACTCCTGCAGGACGTTTAGCTCATTCCTCAGTTATTGTTGGAAATAAACTTTATTTTTCGGAGGAGTTAGGGATGATGGTTTTTGCACAAATGAGGTGTTCTATCTTGATCATTGAATTTGACAAACTAAAAGCGGGACTACTATTCAAAAGCTGTTGGGCCACTGTTTCAGTAAATTATAGACAATAAATTATTTATTTATTTGGTGGAAGAATGTATAATGCTTTTAAATCAAGATGTTTTTATATCAAATGTTCATTCATTTAATTTACGTTCTTCAATGTGGAGTATACTGGATGTCGCAGCAACTCTACAAAAAGACGTATAATTGTAGATAGTGTTATTGATAATACTGAAAAAATGCAATGTAGGGTTCGGTTACAATTTTACGAATCTTAATGATATTTTTTAATACTGTACTGTATGGTTAATTAGTACTCCAATTGATTGGATACAATGGTTACACTGCAATACTACTAACGAATGGATTTATCATAAAATCTGTGGTATAGGTGTAGATGATAAACAAATATAATATTACAGTAATGATACAAACTATTTAAACTGGTCAAAAAATGTATGTATCAATATTGCTCATATTCAGTAAAAAGGATTAATAGGTAACGAAAACTTAAAGCATGATTGAAGGTCATGTTGATCATTCTGCGGTATTAGGTACATGATTACTTTAATAGTTCTTCATAATGCATTGCATTTTAAATCCATCCTTTATTTATTACTTTTTATCATTAAAGCACCAGATGATAAAATCATAATTTATGGAGTACCTTGGTGATATTCACCCTTTAGTTCGAGTTGTTCCTGAACTATTCATGTTAATTATGGAAAAAGAACAATTTGAATTGACTGCGTTACTAGCTTCATCAAATATTGTCAATTTCCATCACTTACAGCTCATATTGAGAATTATAGGATTGTAGCCTTTGGTAAGGAATTTTTTTATATTACATATAGGAAATATTACGCAGCATAATTCTGAATCACTACCAATAATGAATTCTAAACTTTATATCATGGACATTAGAAAGGTTACATGGATTAATTCGTTAGAAAAAAAGCATTTAAGATGAAAACTATAATTGCTTTAATTAGGGGAATTGTCAGCATCATCTTATTATTATTGTCTGTGGATTTTTAATTTATAAATGAAATATAAACAGGGAAAAACCATTGCCTAATATTCCAACTGAATATAATGATGACGAGTAACATTTGCCCGAAGTAATTCCTCCATGGCAAGTTATGGAGTCGAACGATATAACAATTTGCACGCTACACATCAAAAATATTAATTTTTAACGATGATAATTTATTTCAAGTAATACTAATTGTATTCTAATATTTAAATAATATATTATTGATAAATCTTTACCATCATAACATTTTAGAAAATAAGATTTGGTCTGGTTTAATTTGTGTATCTTGTATAGTTTGGTTATTATGTCACCTCCTAATTTCATATGGTAGGTATCATTCCCCAGCATAAATATCGAAAAGGTTTGGGCTGGGCACGTGGTTTATATAAATAATATATCACAACGTGTCACACTCTCCATGTTTAACGAAAGAAAAGAAAACACTGGTTATATTTTTCCTGATCTGGTTCGATACACCGAATTCTTAATAAAAAAATATTATTTTTTTTTATATTATTATTATTATTTCTCGATCGAGGATTATCAAAGCGCAAAAAAAATATTCTTTTTGTACCGATCTGCTCGTCTGGATTAGGCAATTACTTATCTATGTTTAAAATCCATAATTCTAGTAATAACGCCCACCTTCTTGTCTTTTATATACAAAATTACAAAATTAATTTTTATATGATTAGGCGTTACATTGTGCGATATGCTACAAATAATAACATTTGTAAAAAATAACAAATGCTTTATAGAAAACCAATTTATTGTTATTTTTGCAACAAGAAGCAGTTAAAAACCTTTAGATTTAAAATCCTAATGATAAATAATCAAAATATTATATTCTTTTGATATAACTAGTACGGTAAAGTTCAAATATTTTTTTTATTGTGGCTTAGTATTTGTGATTATCATGAATCTTTGAACAACAAGCAACTTGAAGTATCGGGCTATTATTTTAGGTGGGTTTCATTTGAATTAGTCACTTATATGTTAATTACTCTTTGGGATCCAGAGACGTACAATAAAACATTATAATATCCTAATTCGAATGATTTATATAATTTTTACCAATATTATTATTAATATACAAAAAAAGCAATCTGAAATCTTTTAAAAGAATAGTTAGTTTGAATTTTAATATAAATGTTTAAAATAAAAACATTGCTCAAAATATCCAGAAGTAAATCAAAAAAAGTACATAAAAATTAAAAATTAGTGAAAATTATTGCTTCCGCTACAATTTTACCTTGGTTTGAATATATTTTAAAGACAAAAAAATTCATCGAGTCAAACTTTTTTGTTTAATCACGTGAATAATTCAATTTAAAAGATTCAGAAATTAAATAATTATAGTCAATAAAAAGTTTTATAAGCACTTTTTATCATTCGTACTCCATGCTATTTAAAGATTACTAATATTATAGTCGGCAACTTTTTTTTGCTATCGAAACCGCTCATGGAATGAATATAAAATAAGAGATACGACGCTAACGCTAAAATAAGATTTTCATTAATCTATGATCATTAAAATTGATATATTTAAAAATTTTTTTGATTTCGGGAAACGTCCGAGTTTGTCTAAATTCCTTCCATGATTTTTTTGGTACTTTGATAAATGGTATATCCCGCTCATTTAAATGTTGAAATATTTAATTTTTTAAGTGTCACATAATGCAACATTTTATTATCATATCTAAGTAATATGGAGAGTTCTTACAAAATGGTGAATCTGCCAGCGATTGAGCCAATGTTCAACTTAATTAGTTTATTTTCTTCATTAAAATGGTGTCGGTATTCGTACATCTATTATTATGTAAAAATAATTTCAATATCCTTAATATTTCGTTGAACAGAATATCAATTTATCCAATCTTTCATTTGAACATCTGTATGTCTTTGCAGATTTCGGAAAGTCGAGATGAATCACCAATAAATTTGTAAAGTTTCTGAAGATTAACTTCTGTTCCAAGTTATATTTGGTACATTGTATTCCAAGAAAGAACAAGTCGTTCGAATAATGATTTTTTTTTATGAAGAATGCTTCATTAACATTTTAAAGTTTCTTGTACAATTAACGCTGCTTTGTTTTCAGGAAAGTTTTCCCATTCTCTAGTTTTGATTTGAAGCGAAATAATTCAAAAAAGAAACCGCACTGAAATTTTACATTAAATCGATTCACAAATATGCAGGTACTCGAAAATCATGTCTAATTCATGAGGAACTAAATTTAATTTGCAAAAAAAAAGGGAAGAAATCAAGGTTCTTATAATTAAAAAATTTTTTTCTTTTTATTTTGATGTTTTTCTTTTTTTTAAAAAAAAAAAATAGAAATTTTATTTTCTTAAATAAAAATTTTTACAACTATATTTTTGTCCGGTTAAGGCAAAAAAATTATACTTTTATCGGACCCTACACAAAATTACAATGAATTGCTCTAAAATAGCAATGAGGCTTTTTTTTTCATTCAAAAAAATTTCCTATATAATATTTTATTCAGCCTCAAAATTTATCAAAGAAAAATGCATTAAACTTATTTCAGAAGTTATTGCGATAAGATTAATAGTGACCTTTCACAATTATAGCGATCAGTAATTTTTTTTTCACATTTAAATGTGGGCGTGCAGAAACATATTGACTCTGATTCTTTGTCTTGAAATTACTCAAGTTAAATAGCGTAATGACTTACTTGATTCTCGTGTGTTACCGTAACGTAGCCTTTCAAATTTTAAAAATTAAGTAATGAATGACGCCGTTTTTTTTTTTTTTTTGGAAATAAATTTCTTTTTTTAGGCCGCACAAATTTGAGAATGACCTGGTGACCCGCCTTTTATTTTTATAGCATGTATATGTAAATGCGATATGATAACAAACTTGATTTTATATAAAGTTAACTCTAATTAATAATCATACTTTTATGTTTCATATCACCCACAACCCATCCTTTTTAATTAATTCTTTTTCACACAATTTCCAATCAAAATGCCCATTATTCATTTAATCATAAATGAAGTATATTTTGGGAAAACAAAATTTGGTAATAAAGTGTGGTGGTGAAAATACAAATAAGAATAATCGTAGTAAAACATTATTTGGTCCAAATAGTCGAAAAAAGCAATGAACCATATTAAAAATCATCAATTTAATAATCATTTCATTTAGCCTTTAATAATTAGTGGAAGCATAAATTTTATAATAAAGTAATTTACCTTTACCATGGTTTATTATATATTAAATTTATACAGCCTACTATCCATTTTTTATTATTAATCACGTGAAATAAAATTTGTTACATAAAAAATCATTTCCCAATTTTTCAAAAATGTTGTCCCGGCGGGTGTACAAGAACCGAAACATCGAGTTTTCCGGCCTTAGGTAAAATTTGATTTATATGGATCTTTATTCCCTTTTTTTTCTGTACAACGAATTTCATTTTATTATATTAAAGAAGATCCTGTCTGGATATTGACCGGAATCTTTGGATAAATACTAAAGATTTAAATACAAAATGTACACCTTAGCCGGCGTTCTGTTATAGACCTTAAGGGAAATAATGTACTCTTCTAATCTAATCTGTTCGAAAATATGAAGCAATACGAGCTTCTTTTATAACAATTTCTTCCTTCGCGGGCTATGACCGACTGATCGTGATTCTTTTTGCTTGTTCATGTTTACACCTTCCCATCGTTAGCACTATTGAAAAATGAAAAATAAAGTATATTGTGAGTAATCAGAAGCAAAATTTCTTCATCCTTAATCAATGCCGAATGTACTAAAACGTCCTGGCGGTACACTTCATAAAGAACAAGATCAGTAATCCACGTAAAACCGCGACATTTTTTAAAGCAGCCACCAATTACTGACATTACTTTTGTTGTTCTTATCAAAGTAGTCTCATCAAGAAAAACAACAAAAATAAAGGCAGCAACAGATAACGATATTTACTTCGCCGTGATCCCTTCTCCGGAATCAATAGACCAAACGGCTCGATTTTTTTCAGTAGACTTAATAAGCTTACCTGGTAATAGAGTACGTCAACGAAGGATGAAAAAAAGTAAAGTTCAAAGTTTTTCTAAAAGAAATAAAAGAAATAGAAAAGGACAAGAAAATTTCAGAAGAGAAGCAAAAGAAATCCAAGGTCATTCATATCGCGAAAATATTAAAGAACAAACTGACTTGAAAAAAATAAAATTAAAAACGGCTCACTGATAAAATGTTAACGGCCTATTCAATTCTTCTTATATACTGTAAGTCCTACGTTATAAATTTCCGTGAAATTAATATTTATATAAAAACCAATAATCATCTAAGCTCTTCTCTCTTCGTTAAATTATATTTTTAGAACCTTTTTATTTAAAACCTTGCACCATTCACTAGTAAACAGGTGGAAATATGGTAATGGTATAACATCGAGCCTCTATGAGACTGAAACTTTTTAAGACAGTCTTTATCCAATCAATTATCGTATTGAATTTTAATAGTCTTTTCTTGCATTTTTAAGTGTAAAAAAATCTAGGTTCTAGAATTTGATTGCACAATATTAAATAAAGCTTTTATTTCTTGCTTGTATATTTTTTTAAAGCTCACACGAGCGTTAAATAAAAAAAAAGGTGGTTTCGTAAGGGCTATTTATGTAGTTCCAAATAAAAAATATTTGAATACTCGATTCGATTCTCGATATAATAGCAATCCTAAATAGAGTACTTTTTTAAACTTGATTTTTAGTTAATATCTAAATTTGTTTCCTTCGAAAATAAAATATATATTTTTTTATTTATTTTCTATAGGAGGTATCTTACGAATACATAAAAAAAAAGGTTGCGAATTACCGTAACGACTACGCATTTATTTATTAACGATAAATTTATTAAATTTATTATTTACAAAATTTGTAATCTCAATGATGATTTAAAATGTGTATCCTCCCCCCCGTTCAAAGTATAGTTAGTACCTTCGAAATTCTAGAAATTGTATGATACCCGGGTACTTTAGTCTACCGTTTACATATGAATCATTTTAGTACATGGGACATGTCATGTCACATGACCGAACAGATTTAAAATAAATGATTGATTGATTCAATAAATAAGTCGAAGATAACTTACCCTTTTTATAAATGGTAATGAAAATACCCTTTTGTATACAAATCGATCGATTTAATTTAATAAAAAGTTATAAAATTGAATAAAGAAAATCACTCTTTTTTTACATTGTAAAAAAAACTTTATTATTTTTATCCGACTTCGTTTCAATATATTAAACAATTTATTGGTAAGATATTTTACCTACGATTGTATCGATTCTTTGAATTCGAATTGTGATTATGTTCTAAATTATTTTACAATTGAAAATAAATGTTCATCAAGAGTTATTCGAATCGATTTTTCGGTAACTAACTACGTAACTTACTCATCATCTTTAATTCTTTTCTCTTTTTTCTCCATAATTACTTTCACTTCATCTACCATTTTTTTTATTTATTTTTTTTTGTTTCGATGATATTTTCAGGAAAGATTTAACAAATGTTCCAAGAGGACTCGTAAGAGAGTTTGTAGAAAAACATAATGGTCACACTGTGATCACAAAAAATTTTAATGTCGAATAATGGTATAGCGGCTGTTAACGAGATTAGATCTATTAGAAAATGGGCTTATGAAACATTTGGTGATGAAAGGTCATACAGTTTATTGTGATGGCTACTCCTGAAGATTTAAAGATTAATGCTGAATATATTCGTATGGCTGATCAATATATCGAAGTACCTGGTGGTTCTAATAATAATCATTATGCTAACGTTTCATTATATCGCCGAACGTACTGGTGTTCATGCTTTTGGGCTGGATGGTAAGCATTCTTCTAAAAAAAAAAAAATTAACAATAATACCGGTGTATATAAAATAATTTTCTTTTAAACTAATGAAATATGGTTTGATCTTTCTCATCTATAGGGGACATGCCCTAAATTACCCGAATCATTAGCGCGAAGTAAGCATAAGATAGTTTTCATTGGTCCTCCCGGTTCAGCGATGCGTTCGTTAGGTGATAAAATATCATTTACGATTGTTGCTCAATCTGCAAATGTTCCTACGATGGATTGGAGTGGTAATGGTGTCACACTAATGAACAAGGTCATGTTATTGTTTCAGAAAGTGTTTACGAAGTGGTGTGCGTCAAGGACGTTGTTGATGGGTTAAATAAAACAAATTCCTATCATAATCAAATATTTGAGGGTGGAGAGGAAAAATCAAGATAATTTTAAGCAAGCATTTGCTCAAGTTCAAGATGAAGTTCCTGGCTCACCGATTTTCATCACGCGACTTGCTCCAGATGCTCGTCATCTCGAAGTTCAAGTTTTAGCGGATCAATACGGAAATGAGATCTCCTTATTTGGAAGAGATTGTTCGGTTCAAAGGCGTCATCAAAAGATCATTGAAGAGGCTCTAGTTACGATTGCAATAGAAGAGACATTTGAATCGATGGAAAGGGCTGCTGTCAGATTAGCTAAATTAGTTGGTTATGGATAGTGCGAGAACCGTTGAATATCTTTATATCATTGTTTTGTCTGCAGGGGGATTTTTTTATAGATACATCAATGAATGATGGGAAAGCACATCTATACATTTTTCTTTGTTGGTGGTGTTGGCAAAGAAAGTTGCTGCGTCATAAGATTTTTTTTTGTTTTCCTGAATTAAATCCGAGATTATAGGTTGAGCATCTTACGACAGAAATGGCTCAATTACAAATCGCTATGGGAATTCCACTTCATCAAATTCGTGATATTAGAGTTCTTTATG